GTATGCATAGCACTTTGGTTATCTTTATACATTCAAAATCCCCTCTTAAACTCTGCAAAGAAAAAAAAAAAAAAAAAAAAAAAAGCCTCAGAATTTTTTAATTCATATTAAGTTTTCAACAATTTCTCCTCTCATGGTAACTAGGACTAGATCTTTATCTCCAAATAAATCTTGTAAAGAAATATTTTCATCTCAAATTTGATTTAAGCTTTGCTACAACTTATCTTTGGGCTGCATTTAATTCAGGTTGTATTACAGATTTTGCATGTTAAACAGAAACACTATCTTCAGGTGAAAATTTAACCACAGTTCTCAAAAACATCAGTGTTATGCTGGACATAGAGAGATAATGGACCTTGGGACCTTGCAATAATGGGACACAGTCTAATATGATGGAAGTAGTAGTCTTGTGAGGCACACTTGTTTCTCTTCAGATCGTACAAATCTTTCCCCTTTTCCCAAAGATTTCCATGCAGAAGAACAACAAGAGTTATCCTAATTTTTTGATGCCCTACTGAGAGGTAGGGTGCTCTTGGGGGTGTGTTGGCCTAGTGTTACAACAGTGCGATTGTGCTCTGAGAAGGTTGCAAGTACCTATTTTGATCCCCAAAGCCGGCACTCTGGGTTCCTGAGGAAAACCCTTAACCCCACAATGCTCCCTGGGTGTCGCACAATGGCAGTCCACTGCTCCCCAAGGAGATGGGTTAAATGCAGCGGTAAATCTATGGGGAGTGGTGGCCTAGTGGTTAGGGCATAGCGCTTGGAATCCAGAGGGTCTGAGTTCAAGTTCCCACAGACAGCCACTATGGGTCCCAGAGCAAAGACCCTTAACCCCACTGCTCCCCGGGCGGCACACAATGGCAGCCCACTGCTCCCCAAGAGGATGGGTAAAATGTAAAGAGTTCATTTCGTTGCTCTGTACTTGTGACAGTGTGATAACAATAAAAGCTAGAAAAAAATGTACTAGCCACTTGAACATTAACAATGGAGGTGAAATTATTTCATGTAATATCCAAATAAACAACTCATACTATTAAAAAAACATTCAAACATTTTATATTTAATTTGAAGGGGTATAGGTACAATTAGCGGGCAAAAAAAGCATGATTGTTAAACAATAAAGGAACTAAACTTCTGATTTGAGAAACCAAGATTAGTAGGGAACTTCCAAGAGCCCTTGAATTTTGAAATAATGCTGGTGCTTCTGATTCATTAGAATAACACTGAAAAGTTTGTGCAACAACATAGAACAGCAGTCTTCCATGTTATTGTGTGAGTCATAATATAGTCATAGCAGTTCTTAAATTATCACATTTTATTAAAAATATTGTAAAGTTTCGGAACAGAGGACCCAGAATTCAGGCAAGACAGAATGTGAAATAACTTAAAACGTTTATTTAACAAACGGGCTATGGATCCATGGTATCAGCGGCTAGGGCGTCTATAACAGTAACGTGTATAAAAGAGAAACACAAGTTAGTGACCACAATAATCTGATGGAGGATGATTCCAGCCAGTCGGTTGAAATGACGCAGCGGATGCTGCCAGAGTGTTCCAGACGCGGAAGCCTAGAAGGCTGCAGAGCTGACAGCAGATCAGATCCAAACTGATGAAAGAAGGGAGGATAATCCACAGGGTGAAATCAAGAGGCAGATCCAGGTTCAGTCCACAGAAAAATCCAACAGGAGTCCGAAGACAGGCCAGGCAAACAGATCAGACAGCTGCAGGCAGGCTCAAAGGTCCAAATACAGAAATGGGTCAGGATCAGACAATCAGAACACTAGAGAAACGCTAGAGAATTCTCAACACCAAAGGCTCAAGAATAATCTGGCACTGATGGCTGGGACCAAGGAGTTTAATTAGAAGCAGGAGCAGGTAGATCAGAAGAGCAGTGATGAGAAAACAGGGCAGAGCTAGACAGGTGAATGAAATGAGCAATCAAGCCAGCCATCAACAACAAAATTATTACAAATATGGTAAATGGGTAATTTAAATGAACAGAAATTAAGACATATAATTCATGGGTAATGAATTCAAGAAATACATTAGTTTCATTCTCCGAACTGATAGAAAGTAATTAATAGACATTTGAATAATTGTGATTTGTTGAGTGCATCTGCAGAAACAATCTAAGATTCTAAACTACAAACTACTTTACTCAATTAGAAGCACTTCACATTTAGTGGGTTAACAATTCACAGTGGAATGTAACGTCCATCATTAACCTGTTGGGGTTCAAGATGTCTAAACAGCTTATGACAAAAGGTAGGGACATTAAAGTTTATATCAGGTTTAGGAAGTCTGAAATTCTCTTTTGACTGCTTTCTAAATCTCAAAATAGGTTTAGTTTAGTTAGTAATAAAATGCAAAATAAGGAAGATCCAGTGCATACAGTACGACTGAAATGTTATCACTTCTTGCCGCAGGGGTTGCTAACGCAGTGATCATTTTAATTTTTGTGCAATATAAGTATAATTTGGAGATTTTTGTACTTAATATTTAACTCTTGGATATCAACAAGCTACGTTTAGTCCAGTAATACTTTTATATTTTTCAAGTGAGTTGGTTAAAGCTGCTAAAATCCGGTGCACACCTATTTGCACCTTGCTATCTATGTTCAGAGGTCAGTGGGGCTGAAAGCACACATTCATACTTTAAACCACTCACTGTTTACAGTTAACAGATCTTTTGAAGAATTAACAAAAGAAGGCACCCGCAATGAGACAATGTTTCATAGGATTTCCTATGTAGAGCAGAGGTGCTTCTTTCTAACAGTTTTTACTTTGTTAAGAAATGATTGATTTAAAAAGCTGCGTGCAGTGAGGTGTGTTTGCTCTGTCATTCTTCTGCTGATTAAATCGAAATGCTGTTAGACTGAATGTCTGTAAACCGGGTGGAGCCGGTAATGCAATATTCCGGCCTCAATCACTGTCTCATTCAAATGAAATTATATGAATTACAGTTTATCAAATCCTTAGCTATCACAAAATACAATGTGCTGAAGGGAGGGAGTATGTGCTTTATATGAATGCGGCACACTATTGGTATATTAATGAATGGTTTAAAACTTCTTATCTTGACCCATTACCCAAAACCTTTTCTTATGCTGCCACCTGATTTCACTTTACATGACTTTATACTCTGAAATCATATGAAAAGAATATTTGAACTAAATAACAATGCAATTTACTTCTGTTTCAACTAAAACGTTTCAGACTGTATTATCTCAAAATGCAAAGAAAACATTTTCACCACCCACACATTGCATCATCTTCTCTTTCTATGCGATTTTTACCACGTTCCATTGAAACTTTATGGGTTCAGGTGAGTAAAATTACAAACCAGAAAGTTAACAGAATTAAAATAAAGTATCCGTCATAATTATAAATAATCATGTATTTATATGAATCTTAATTTCAGTTCAGTTTTACCTTTCTAAAGTTGTTTTTGCACGGACTACTAAAACTTCTTTGACATCTTTATCAGATGGTGGGAGTCTCCTTCAGAACTGCACCCACTCTGCCTTTCTGTTAGTTTAGTTTTTAGGGAAAGTAAATTTGTTCATGAAAAATTTGGATTTTTTTTTTGGAAAGTAAGGTATTTTAAGTAGCTACTCATACGTTTTACCTAGACCCCCCCACCCCCACCTAAAAAAAAGGAAAGGGAAGAAAAAAAATACAAGCTATCCCTTTAAGACAGTCAACAATAGTTGGGTAGAGGGGGAAGGGCAGAATGGGAAGGAACTCTAGTTGCTGGGTTCAAGCTTGAACAATTTATAATAATTAGCTGTGATTGTTTTAGATAAATCTGCTGGTGCCCTACAATCTAAAATAATAGAATAATGAGTACTCCAAGATTTGTTCTTCTCTCTTTTAATATTAGACTTATGGAGGTAAGGCAAGTTGTGACCAGTGCTACAATACCAGGAATTGATGGTTTGATAGTATCCACTTCCTCTTTTCAGAGGGGAGTTGGTTTCCTATTACCAGTGGCTTCGCACGCCATCGCTCTCACTACAACGGCAGTGTATGCATCCATGTGCGTGACACAAAAAACAGGTATTACAACTACAAATGCATACCAGGCACAAGTCTGCGTGCTTTCCAGGGGGAGGGAACAGATAAAGTAAACAGAGAGGACTTTGCTCAAATCTACAAGCAGAACATGCAGTCAAACGATGACTTGCAAGTTCTAAAACTCTATTGTTTAAAAACTTTTAGAATGCAGAAAATGGTCATGCAACAAAAAAATAAATGAAATAATATTCTTAAATGAGTTTCAAAGGGATATTACAACTCATTAAAGGGAACGGTGAGGTGATACAAAACAATGATTAATTGAAGACACACTCAGTGCTGACACTTCCCCTACAAAGCTCTGGGAATCTTCCCTGTCCTCCTGAGGTTATATAAAGGCTTGACTTAAAATGCAACCCGCACTTCTTCCAGAATTTCAACACAGGCACACACACAGAACGCCACCCCTTTAGAACAGGCAGCTCTAAATCTCACACAAAGCTCAGCTTGCAGCGCAGAGAGGAGGCAATGAGAAGCAGGGTGTGGTTTCCTCCAGCGGGGCTGCTGGCTCTGCTATGCTGCCTTGGTCTGGGGCCCGTTCAGGGGGGGAAGGTGTTGGTTATGCCCGTGGATGGAAGCCACTGGCTTAGTATGAAGATACTTGTAAAGGAGCTCGGCCGCAGAGGCCATGATGTCACGGTCCTGGTGCCTGAAAGCAGCCTGTTGATCCAAGGTTCTGAAAGCTACAAGACTGAGGTCTACAAAGTGCCTTATACCAAAGAAGAACTGGATGAGAACTTTAACAAGCTCCGGGAAGGATTATTCGACCAAAAACCAGGACTTGCAGATTTATTTGTTAATGTGGAGCGTCTGGTGACTTTTACCTCTCTTCAGTCTTTGGGCTGTGAAGCTTTATTGGACAATGAGCCTTTGATGAATCAACTCAGGAAAGAAGGTTTTGACATCTTGCTTACAGATCCTTTCCTTCCCTGTGGCTCTGTTCTGGCACATATTTTTTCAATTCCTGCAGTGTATTTTCTGCGCGGTCTTCCCTGTGAGCTGGACATTAAAGCTAACAAGTGCCCCTCTCCTGTTTCCTACGTCCCCAAGGCTTTCTCTGGTAACACAGACCGTATGACCTTCCCAGAGAGGGTTAAAAACATGATGATGTCCTTTTTGGAGTCTCACATATGCACAGTCATGTATCGCCACTTTGATGAACTGGTCAGCAAGCGCATCAAAGACGGCATGTCTTACAAAGAACTCATAAGCCATGGGGCCATCTGGCTTCTCAGATATGACTTTGTTTTTGACTGGCCCAAACCTCTCATGCCAAACATGGTTTTGATAGGCGGGATCAACTGTGCAAAGACAGCTCCTCTTCCAGAAGTGAGTAGGAAGACTTATCTGTTCAGGGCAAAGAAAGAATGCTTTCTAGCTGTATTTAATCAAGGCAAATCTGTTAAACAAACATTTTGGGTACATGCAACATAAAGCTGTAAAAAAAGACAAACATTTTGTTAATGAATTCTGAGCAAGACAAATGTGCCATGTTAGCATTTGATTAAATGTTCCTTGTTAAACATCAGTTAAAGAGCTGCTCTAATTACAGCAATGCTTTCATTTAAATGTACAAAACTTTAAATCATTACCCATTTCCAGAGGAAGAAAAACATGAATAAAAAATCATATTCCATAGCAAGCTCAAACACACAGTTGAACTCTGCTTATAGTACTTTTATTGTTTTAGGAATTATGGCTGTTGTAGACTAAGTTTGCCTCTTAATGTGAAACATTTTGAGAGCAATGTAATCCAGATTTATGGACTTCCTCCAAAAGGCTCTAGGAAAGGAAATGTGGGGCCCCGTTGTGTCAACAGGGATCAAGTAATTTGCAAAAACAATAGGTTTGTTTTTATAGGCAGACAGTTATGCTTGCTGTTCAAAAAGGTTTTAAACCTGGTAGCTGTAAACATGCAGTTAATTCTCTAAAGTCTTATAATATACATGTAGTTTTTACATATTTTGATATAATAACACTGGATTTAGCTTATAGTTCACTTTTCTTGTGGTTACTTTACTGTCTTGTCAACCCTCTTGCAGGACCTGAAGGAATTTGTGGATGGCTCAGGAGATGATGGCTTCATTGTCTTTACACTTGGCTCAATGGTATCAGACATGCCAGAAACTAAGGCCAAAGTGTTCTTTGATGCCTTTCGCCAACTTCCTCAGAGGGTAATTATTCACAACTTCATCACTGGTTCAGTCAGTTCAGTTGACATGAACTCAACACTTCAATCTTATCAATGATTTTACATTGAAATTTTGCACACACAGCACATGGGGGTAAGGTTGTGTTGAGCTACTGAACTTTGCTCTCTACTTTGCTGCACATGTGCCAGACTGAACGTCCAGTGCTTATGCAGTCTGCACGTGTTTATGAGCTGGTCTGGTTTGTATTGCAGGTGCTCTGGAGATATACAGGTAAAGTACCCAAAGATATGCCCAAGAACGTCAAGCTTCTGAAATGGTTACCTCAGAATGATCTCCTAGGTATGTTGAGTGTATAAATACATTTAAATAAAAAATTCTCACGGTATTGTAAGTAAGGTAATAAAGATGTGACATGTTTTGCTCTACAGCCCACCCCAAAGCTAAACTCTTCATGACTCATGGTGGCAGCCATGGTATCTACGAAGGTGTCTGTAATGCTGTTCCTATGTTGATGCTTCCACTTTTTGGGGACCAGGGGGACAACGTACACCGAATGGTGTCTCGCGGTGTTGCTGAGAAGTACGATATATTTGATTTGAAAACAGAAACACTGGTACCTGCGCTGAAAAAAGTTATCAACGATAAAGGGTAAGAAACTTAATTTATAACTTAATAATGGTTAAAGGATAATTGAAAATTTATATAAACGTTTTTGTATTTAGTTGAACATTTTTTTTAAAGAGGGTTTCCTGAAACTGCAATTTCCTATATTTCATCTTCAGAAGACATCAGTTAAATGGATTTTTGCTCAGAGAGGAAGATAAGTAAGCAGGTGGACAGAACTAGAATAATTAAAGCAGAGACTGGAAAATCTCAATCTTCGTCATCCAGAACATTTAGATTTTGCTGTTTTTATTTTATAGTATAAACATTTCCGCCACATATCAGGTTTAAACTGGAAGGCAATCAGACTTAATTGTATTTGAAAATTATTCATGCAAACTCCAGCCGCCTTTGGGCTACAAAGGATTCTTTTTTGTCTTTAATGTTCTTTAATGGGCTCTGCACAAAGCACAGTTATGTTTTCTGAAATTGCTATGGGCATTCGCTGTTCTGCAGTATACTGGGTCAAGTGATTGTTTAAGAAGAATTGGCTGAGGTAAATCCAGCTATGTAAACAAGCAGACAAAAACAACTTTCCCATGTTTAATATTTCATCATTTATATTTAGTATTATCTTTTACTTTTATTTCTTCACTTTTGTTTGTAGCACTTTTAGATAAATATATAGATAATATTTAGTATTTTCATTTCTAAAATAATTATACTACTAAAGTATAGTATTACAAAATAATGATGGCACTTTAAAACTGACAGAAGTACATGCAATCTACTCATTATTGGGCAAACCAATAATATTATCATTTGTGAGAGGAACTTTTATAGATCACCTGAAAACACACATTTCTTGCACAAGTTTTTTTTTTTTTTTTTTTCCCCATACAATTTAGCGTTCCTTATTTGAAATCTTTGGTGATTGGGTGTTAAATGTATTTTATTGAGATTCTATTTCACAGGGATTCATACAAATTTAAAGAGTTGCATTATTGCATCATTTTAAAGCAGCGAAACAAGGGAAACAACAACCAAAGTTTAACAATTAACGTTTTTACAGATGTTTTATACATACATAAAATAATAACTTACTGACTGTTGGCCTCTATATATTTCATTGTGTATATTTCATTGATTTCTGAAAGCAATTGTCTGCACTGTTTTTTTAAGTTGCAGAAAATAAATTCCAGCAACACTTCAGAATTTAGATTTGAAAAGTGTATACTTATCCTTTAAACGCACACTTCTCTGTTGGCCTATTACAGAAAACTCCACTTAAATGCTCTGAAATGTGTATTCGGTATTATATGGTTAGGATTATTTTTGGATGAAATTACTTTTGCTGTAAAGGGACTGCCGCTTCTGCTCAAATCCTGCCTGGAGGATATTTTCTTGTAGAGAATGACTCTTAGCTTTGGTGATAAAGCTATTCAAACAGCCTCTCTAAAGAAAAAAGATGCCGTCCCCTGAGTAATATAGGTATTTTCTGGTCATAGAAAACTTCACACTGAACCATTTTCAAAACCTAAGGACTTAAAGAATTTAATCCAGAATTTAAAGGTTTGAAAAGGTCTTAAATTTAACATGACAGGTCTAGATGGGGAAAAGAACAAATTAATTAATGGAAAAAGATTTGGATTTCCAGCCTTTATTCATAATCAGTTTTTAAGCCCCTCCTCCTTTCCTCACAAACTAATTATGTCTTCTCAATAGATACAAAGAACGGATGGTGAAGCTTTCGCAGATACATCTGGACCGCCCTGTGGAGCCATTGGACCTGGCTGTTTTCTGGTCTGAGTTCGTAATGAGACACAAAGGAGCCCCTCATCTAAGAGTAGCCGCACATGATTTGAACTGGTTCCAGTACCACAGCCTGGATGTTATCGGCTTTTTACTTTTAGTTTTTGTCACCGTTTTGTGGGTGACTTTGAAATCCTGTTTGTTTTGTACTCGCAAGTGTTGTGGAAAGAGAGGAGGAAAGAAGAAATCTGAGTAGTGTCCATCTCAAAGTAAATACTTCAAACACTACTGTAAATGTTTTGTCTGGTGTACTGTAAAATGTGTATATGTGAATAATGCTATTCATTATTTGGCCAGAAAATTGTAAAAAACTAAGTTGGCATTTACTTTTGTCATCCAGCTTTCCTAAGCGATTGAAATAAATACAATTTTAATAAAATTACTAAGATTAGTGACAGTATACTGAAATCTCTGCACAAAAAAATTAGGTTATTGAACTTACCCAGACAGAGACAGATTTAAGAGTAGATTAGTTCTACTGGGTGGTGAAATTGAAGGGGATTGTATTTTTTTTATGGTTTTCAACTTTATCTAGACAAAATGTAAACCCTTTTAATTTATTACCACCAGTGTTGAACACATGTATAAAACCTGTAAAAAAAATCTCTTGGATCCTCTTCCAGCCACATTTGATAACCTACACCTTTTGCTTTGTAAAATCACCACACACCTAACTTGTGGTGTTTTTCCTATTTTGAAGAATAACAATGCAGGCTTGAAACCATATCCATGTGCCAGAGCACATACAATTCTGGGAAATAAATTAATAGTTCTTTACTATTCAAAAAAATTATATTCAACTAAAAATAATTTGTTTAGCTTATTTTATATGAATGTGTTCAGGGTCTCGTCGCATTTAGCCAAGGTAAAGAAGAAGTTGCTCTTTTCCAGGATTTTAACTTTAAAATCACACTAAAACTTTAATGTATTTTGGATGTTTTATCACCTATTATTGCCACCAACAAATATTTATTGGACATAGAAACATGCTGAAATTATAGTAAGTTGTTTCCTCTTATTGATTATTTTGGCCAAATCATGACAACAATTAATTTTATGGTACCTAAGATTATAGATATGTCATAACTTCACTAAGTTGAGTGGAGGTTTGTAGAGGACCCAAATGCAGAGACAAAGACAGAGATGGTTTCTTTCAGATTTAATGAATGGGGTTGTGACAACAAAAGCATAACTCCAAAAAACAAAAACAACCCAGGTAAGACAGGAATCAGAACAGAGGGTAACACAAAACTTCAGGAGGTATTGAAGAGAACCCAGTATTGTGTAGCTGCAGAGGAGTACATATGTTTAACAGAACAATGAATGCAGTCATGAACTAATTGGGTGAAGGTGTGGACAGAGGGAGCTTAGGGGAAAGGAGAGGGACACTAGAGGGCAACAGAGAGTAACCAGGGAATACAATAGGGCTTAAATATAACTAGGAAGAAACTTTAATGTAGCTAAAGGGGAATTAAACTAATGACTAGAAAATACAGAATGACCAAAAGGAAACTAGAGGATAGGAAAAGGGACTGGATATACCTATTATGCCTTGGGAAACATAACCTAAAGATAACTGTAAACAATGAATGGCTAAATAAAACTAGAGCGCAAACTGTGGTGCAGGAGCTTTGGTCGCCGCAGCTTAAACCCACAATGAGGTGGTGAAGCTTGAGACACAAAGAGGAGGAGCAGTTAAAGAGGTGCCACTTAGGACTAATTAAGAGGCACAGCAGCTGGAAAGGGCTGACCATGAAGGGGCCAGGGAGATGAGGAGCACCCACTGCTGGCCCTTGGTGACAATTTAAGTTACTGTAAGACAACTATGAAGCCATGGGAAACATAACCTAAAGATAACTGCAACTGTCCATCCATCCATCCATCCATTTTGTCACACTTATTAGCGGGGTTGTGAGAGTTGCTGTTGCCTATCTCCAGCTGTCTACGGGCGAGAGGTGGGGTACACCCTGGACAGGTTGCCAGTCCATCCCAGGGCAACACAGAGGACAAACAGGACAAACAACCATTCATGCAAACACTCACACCTAAGGCGAATTCAAAGAAGCCAATTAACCTAACAGTCATGTTTTTGGACTGTGGGTGGAAGCTGGAGTATCCAGAGAGAACCCACGCATGCTCAGGGAGAACATGCAAACTTCCTGCAGAAAGACCCCAGGCCGGGAATCGAACCCAGAACCTTTTTGCAAGGCAGGAGTGCTACCTACTGTCCCACTGAGCAGCCCTAACTGGAACCAATGAATGGCAAAATTAAACTGGAGCAAATACAAAAAATGCTGAACAGGAGATAACTGAAAAACCATCAAAAAAGGAATAGCTAAACCAAGTATTTCGAAAGTGATATAAATCTTAACAGCAAACAAAGAGTAAGATAAATCGAAGCCTAACTCAAAACACAAAGTGAAAACACCAACAGAACCAAAAACCCAGAGCAACAGATCAGGACAGACCATCGTTTCAACATGGCAGCAGCAAACATACAATGTATGCCTTTAGGAAGATTTTATTTGTGTTTGTGTAATGAAACAGCTTTTAACCATTTTTGTTAGCTATGGTAAAACTATTAGAAAGTAATACCAACTCCATTAGAGTGGAGAATAAAATATTGTGCACTATAAAACGTACTGACAAAGATAAAACAGCAGCTTTATCTTATAAAACAGCAATTTTTCTTGGTTGAAAAATTGCACAACCAAGAAAATAAATTTCAAAGCAAACCTAATGCAAGCTATGACATGTTTTATAGCTACTGAGAAAAAGTTAACTGTTCTCCTAGAAACATGTAGGTGACATCTCGAATGTCCGTTTTAGTTTCAAATCAATGCAAGAAACAACCAAAAAAACCAAACATGCAACAAAAAAATATAACAAAAGAAAACCTATACACCTTCACACATATTTTCCACCATTCTTTAAAGTCCATTAGTTTTTCAGTCATTTCTATAGCCCAACCCAGAGCATTAGCCTAAGCCTTACCATTAGTAATAAATACTTAACCCACTAAACCTTACCTAAAGCCAATTCACATCTTAATCCTAAACGTAACTGAAAACCCCATGAGAGAACTTTTCCTCATAGAGATCAGACGCTGATTCTCACAGGTACCTGTAAGTCTGCATAAAGTAGCATAGTTCTTGGAAATTTTCCCCATATATATATATATATATATATATA